TCCCTGCAAAAGAAAATGCTGCTGCTGCTGCCATGTCGCAAAGCATTCCCCAGGAAGATAACCAAGCATGCTGTCAGGTGGCAACTGCCACTGCTCTTACTTAAACAGCTTAACAGTGGTATTTGCAGCAGCTCCAGGAGAAGCCCATGCACAGAACTGTGCCTTCAACAACAAAACAGACAAATCCTTCCTGGAATCAACTAGCTAAGAATTGTCAAAGCCAATCACATGTTATTTCATTGAGTTCATATGTAGAAACATCTGATAACCAACAAGCCTCAACTGGAAAGAAGCTGCCAAATAGGTTTGGCAATAAATCACCATATTTTAGTCCTCATTTGTCAATGTATATTTAAGATACTTGGCTTTTCTTGTAACAGCTTTCCTTCTAAATGCCAAGTCCCATCACCCCTTTCCTTTGTCAGGAGTACAAATCTCATGCTTCAGACTTACATGCACTGGCAATCCATCCCACTGGTAGGGCAAGACTACAGAAGGGAACTTGCCTGAGCCAGTAAACCAGAGCCAGGAATACTTTGTTTACAGGAAAGAAAGCTCTCAGGTGCTGAGTGACAGATGCTTCACAGGGCCTGTGGAGATCCAAGGCAACCTCAAAATTCAGAGACCGAGCATTACAATTAGTCTTAAAAAACTCCAAAACTTTAAATCACCATCTCTACCAGGAGGGAGTTTGAGTTTTTGGGTCAGAGCAGCTCAGAGTACAAGACCCTCCTGGCCAAAACCAAATAGTAATAAGGGAACAGACTGCAATACAAAGCACGCAGGGCTGAGTAATCCTGGTATCTGATCCTCCTGCCTAGCTGTGTGCAGAGATAGGGGCTGAGTGGCTGTAGAAAAACAGATTCTCTCCTATGTCTCTCTGAAACGGGGCACTCTCCTCCTCACAGCAGTGCTAGAGAAGGCACCACCTCTCATTAGAGCTGAAGGAGAAACATCCAGTTAATGGTGCGGGTGAAGGAGTCTATCTTCCCTGTAGGCACAGCTTGCTGCCTGAGGAAATTAAATTAAGACGGAAAGCGTTGAAGGAGAGTGAAGTATGCTGTCACCAGCAGCGTATCACTTGTTTAGTACTGCTCCGCATAAGCTAGTGAGGACTGGGAAACCGTTGCTACACAGTCTAGCAAGAGCCACTCCAAGATAATGAACATATAAATGGAAGGAGTCGAGAACCTGTGTATCCTCAAAAAATGAGCACTAGACAAAAGAACACAGGCGGGCAGCACTCACAGCGTAAAAGGGATACACTCACCTCTTGGTCTATTTTTTATCTTCTCTGGAAGCCCTCTGCTGTACGCTAACTAGCTGTTTACTTTGGACAATGAACTATAGCTAATGTTAATAAGCTCTCGAAAATTTGCAAAGCTCTATAACAATATAAGGTGGAATTACATGCAAAGCAACACACCTGATCTTTGAAACAGCAGAGACTCCGCAAAAGAATAATTTAAGCAAGAGCACAACCATGATTACAGCAGCACAATCACGGCAACGGACCATCTCCTCACTATGAGGAAAAGGGTGGTGAGAAGGCCCACCTGAGTAACAGGCTCCCTTTTAACACCTCTGCTGTGGAATATCAATTCAGACACACAACCACAGTCATCCTGATCCCAGCAGAACAAGAAACACCAAGAAGAAACAAAGACGACTGATAAAATGCATTATCAAAGACATGGAATAAAAGAACCATGGAACTTAATCCCTGGTTGTAATGGAACTTAAATCCCTGTTTACAGTTAAAAAACCCCCCAAAAAACAAAAAAACCCCAAACAAACCAGGAATTAACAGTGTATAGTAACAAAGTGAGAGCATTCTTCTCTAGGAAACTACAGATATTCTAGGTGGCTTGAGGTATGAACATCAAGGCATTAGATGAGCCTATGCTTTGAGAAGCAAGAAACCACCATCAAGAGACAAATAAAACTCTGCAGTAAGGCTCTGGAATCCCATGTTCCATCAACATCACCAGACTCAATAGCGCCTTTCCCTCAGGAATCACCCAGGAATCTCCAAAATCAAAACCGACTGCTGAAGTGAACGCACTCGAAAGGATCTAGATTTATTTTTAGCAGGAAGTTTCTTGCAGCGATTTCAGTGCCACACAGCCTGATGTAAGCTGACTTGAAAGACAACATGGTACGCTGTTTCTGTGCAACAAAAACCAATGCATGATATGCACATCATGGTTTTGGTTTTTCTCCACCCAAGGGGAAAAAGTAATCGTGAGAACCACATTTCCAAAGGTTAGTACCTGCAGCAAAAACTGCTCAAGCAGGAGCAGCTCTTCCTACTTAAATTGACATCCAGCAAAATTCTAAATATTTACAAGCCACTATTAATCACGGAAGGAATTCTTAAATAAGAAGCATTTTCCAAGACTCTTACGAAGCAAGTAAAAGAAGAAACCAAACTATCAGAAGAATTTTAAATTTGATAAATGCCAGATTTGTCTGAGGAACCCTCATAGGATTGGGGAATTCTCTAGTTCCTTCAGACACACAGGGGAACCAGCACAAAGAGGCCACGTTTGGTTTTGGTTTCAATGCACTCAACTCCTCCCCCCTCTGAAATTACTGTTCCCGAGCCAGCTCCTGAAAGTCAAACACGGTTATTCTCCTTCAGTTGTTTACCTTTTCCCCCTCCCCACTCGTGCTTCTACCACAAAACCCCAACAGAGGAAGCAATCTCTCCCTTCCAGCATGTACGTGGGGTCTGGGTCTTTTAGATGTAGGGTGGCTGTCTGCTTGGAGTCCACCGTGACAGAGGAAAGGCAGCTCCTGACCAAGGGCTAGGCTGGCTGTCAACTGGTCTCAAGTTTATCAAACAAGGATGCTCATTCCAAATACACAGAAATGGGAAGACTCTCCTGTTAGCGGTAAAACAAACAATCAGCCAAGACATACCCTTAGGAAACAGACACCAAATAAAGAATGTCAGGTGACAATTTTTGCCAAGTGCTCCTCTTCAGATCAGTAAGGTTTTAATTATTGTACTGTAGCTGTAAACACTCAATTACATTTACAAATATTTTAACTTGGTGCTTCCAGGAGAAGAGGGATCAACTTAAACTCCATCTGCCAGTTGATGATGAGAAAGGTTGCTTAAAACAGGATATGAAGAGCTCACACATTTTAATTATGACTCCTGAAGCTCTCTATTTTAAGTAAATGAGTTACGACTCCAACATATGCAAGAACACAACAGCATAAAGTGAACATTTCTGAAATGACTACTGCTAAGAAATGCACAAGCTGTTCTCAAGCTGGAAGCTGGCGGAGGGAGCTCCAGAGGTCGCTCCTTGCCTTTAGTCACTTCACTAGCAAAAGATCTCACAATAGCAGGGCTGGACTCACAAACACACCACTAATAGCAGAACCACAATACAGATTTATAAATCAAAGTATCTGTCTCACCAATACAAGACTTTGGAGACCTGTTTTGTTTGTACGGGTTGGTGATCATTTACACTCAAGTTTTCTGAAGAAAGGTGTGAAGAACAAATTTAGGATTAATTTCTCACACTAATCTCAGGAGGACCGTGGGCAGCTGTTGGGTATTCAGATCATCTGGCTCGCTGACAACACACAGAAGATCCAAGCAAGTTAATCTGGCTGATGCACAGGCTCATTTTTCCTGGCATTTGTACCTCTGTTCTAGTGTGAAGTATCTATTCCTCTGCTAAATGCAGTAACCACTGAAGCGCTCATTCCAAAAATACAGCCCCCCTGAGCACTGGCACGGTTATCAATGTTCCTTCGGCAACTATGTCATTCTGGAGAAGGTGGAAGGAAGAAAAACACCTATCAGTTGTCAAGGAAGACACCCTGGCCCAAGACATGATTTAACTGCCAATAAATCCTACAGGATAGTTTTCAACCAGACCAATCAAGTGCTGATCACAAGCTTGACTTTGGAAGGGTGCCATTCAAGGAGTGGCAGAATCCTGGAGAGAAACAGCTGTATGCCCCAAAAGAGCTGCAGATTAAGAAAACTTTATATATACTTATATATTGTTCTTGTGTGTGTGTGTATATATATATATACACACACACACACACACTCATGATCATAATACTTTCAACATGGGCTGAGATGAGAAAGCTGCCCCCTTTCTTCTCAGAGGAAGATAAAGGCATTGACACTTGTAATATAAACTCAGATCAGTTAAGGAACATCATATGCAATAATCGTGTAACCATAGCACTTAATCAAGCAAAGCTTCAATATTCATTTTCATGAGGAAATCGAGAATTAGTAAAACAGAGATAATATTAACAGCATGAGTTACTATGTGAGTACAGGGTTGATTATGTGCATTAATTCCCTGAATCCAGATACATATTTTGCAGGATAATTTCATTCCAGAAGTTAGTATTTCATTTCAGTGAAAAAAAAAAAAACCAACCAAACTATATGTGTCCGTGACATCAGGGCACAAAACTACAGCTTCTTGATGAGATGGATGGACAAGGAGTTGAGATGCTTTTTTCCACAAGTTCAAAGCGATTTCTGCTTTGCAAAAGCAGGGAAAGGAACAACTGCAGATACGTAGCTATTCCTCTCTTCTCCACCAGCATTAATTGCCTTATTAAGGCAAACCACAAAGACTCCCCACTTCTTCCCACGAGGGAGGAAAGAGCCTCAATACTGTCCACCAGCCAGCTGTAGCTTTTATCTTCCAAACGATTTCACCACAACTTCCTCTAGGTATAAACTAGGTGCATGCTTAGCTATTTAAGTCTTTCAAAAATGTTTGGGTTTATTCTTTGGTTTTCCTAGAGTTGTCACAGAACTTTAAGACAGCATTGCACTAGGAAAACGAAAGTCTGCTGCAGGTTTTAAGGCCAACTTAAATGTAAACTAGGCTGGGTTACAATAGACACTGATTTAAAAAGTAAAACATTAAATCACAGATTAAAACAAGAATATGGTTACCTTTCTAACAAAGTGCAGAAATAGAAACACACATTTATTTTTTCATTTATTGGCACTTATTTGAGAAACAGCATAAATATTCAACAGAAGAGACAAGTTGACCCACACGCAACTATTAAACCGCTCCACTGATGCATCTTTTAAAAAAGACTGGAAGAGACACCAGGGGGTTCATTCTTAAGAAATAAGCAAGATTTAAAAAAAAAAAAAAGTCTTGCCCTCACCACAAGAGTGAACGCACAGCAACTCTTTGGCACATACCTGAAATTACAAAACAAAACCCTGCCCTATCAGACAGGGGGCAAACAGACATTAAACACAAGCTTGTCCATCTGCCACGGGGATGAGGGGCAGTCTGAATTTAAAAAGGAACTGCAATCAGAAAGTTGACTATTACAATAATTTAAGAGGAATGAAATCAGAAGTAAACATGTCATTTCTTACTTGAACTGAGCAAAACTATTAAATACATTCTATTTTCTTTCTACAGTAAGGACATACAGAAACTGGTCATTGGTCCTCAGGTCACCAGGTCTTTGCACTCCAAGTTGTCCGTTTCTAATTTTGATGGCTGCTGTCAATCAAGGCTTCATCCATGTGACTCTTTCGCAGCAGCACTCAGAGTGGGCTCTTCTCCTACTTGAGGAAGTTTCCATACTTTTCTCACTTTATTACACATTACAAAGATTTAGTGTTCAAAAATAAAACATTTTGCTTCATTATTAACCTTTCTGGAGAGAAGGCTTGAAACCACATAGTACAGATGCATACACACGTACAAAAGGGGACTCGGCTGGGGAAGTTCAACTGTAGAACAGGAGTCAACAACCACAGTAAGGTTGCCACAGGAAAATCTGAAACAGCTATGGTGGAGTTTGCAGATTTTTTCCTCCTGTCTGGGGAATTTCAGAGTTGAAATCAGGATGCCTCAACCCACTGACTTTTCAAACATAGTACAAGAATCCTGAAACATCCCCGATTACCAAATTCTAGTCTTTCAATCAGCATCAGTTTTCAACAGCAGAAATAACCTGATGCTATTGTTAGAGGGAGTGATATCAGGAGATTAAACACAGATTAAACATGTCTGGTTGCCTCAGCCTGTAAAGAGGCATTAAAGATTTCTCAGTATATTTGCCCAGAAGTCATATATGAGGACAAATACTGTCTGTTAAGATAATGCACTTCTGAAATACTAAACCATCAGGATTTAGTGTTTTGTTCCAACCATTACTATTTTTCCCTATTAAAAGGCCTGTAAAAAACCATCTACCACTCTAACATATCATATAAATAGGGAAATAAAACCCAAACCAATACAAAACCCCAGGAGAATGTTCCACACCTAACTTAGATTTAGTCACAACAGCAGTCATGATTATGAATAAAATCCAACATATAAATTTAAGTTGACAATTCACCAACTTGTTCTTTTGACACCTATTAGAACACAGAATTGATTAACAGCCAATCATAATACAACACAAGAATCAATTCCCCCCCCCAGTATTCCCCCTTTCATATGAAGAACAAAACCACAAAATATCTAACACCTGGGGAATAAAAAATTAGTAAGCTGCTCCACTGGTTTCAGACTGAGGACAAATGTGAAAGTTATCTGCTACTACATAAGCACCACTTTGTATTAGTGAGGACACTGCCTGTTGGCTGTTGGAAAGCCAAGTCTTCTACAAGCAGAATGTACATAGAGTATTTGTAACTTATGCCAACAAGACAATATCAACTGTAAATCAACAGCTTGCTTACTGATATTAGCATCAAATATGTTTGCAATTCAAATGCTTACTGTATTTTAGTAAATGTCATACAAATCACTAGAAACGTGAATTCCTCCTCAAGGAACTATTCTGCAAGTTTTGTAGAAATAACGACATTTCTGGAAGTTCCTATGAGGAACAGAATCAGTTACACACAACAGAAAGTCTTATTGATATCCAGCCTGTTTCTCGGTGTCCATTAGCAGAGTTCTGCTTCTTAATTAATAGGTAACTTAGCCGTAAGATCTACTGGTAAGAAAGGAGATCTGGAGTCAGAAAGTGAGACTGGAGAGTCTGTGTTGGTGCTGACTTCAGCTGGTGAGTCACAGGAAGAGCCTGCACTGCTTCTGTTGTCATCAAGAGCATGTGACGACAGACTGAAAACAGAGCAAGATAGGAGAAATGAGGTACTCTTTCTGGTGAGTTTCAAATACTTGCTTCCATTCATTCTAAAACCATTTTAAAAACAAATATGCATCTCTGAAGGAAGAGTAAGCCCCATGATTTAAAATAAATATGCAACTACACGCTTTGCAGTCACTCCCAAACAGATAACATTCTGCCAAATTCCTCCTTCAGCTGACCCAGAAATGGGGTACAGATTAGAAGCATCAGGCTGAGCAGTTCACTGCAAAGCTTCACCTCATCTCCTACAAGGTCCTGGGCTAGCACATATCTAGAGGCCTCTTGTGTCAGGAGAGCTGACGATAAACACTCATACTTCAGTTGTACCACTAACTACATAGTCACAGGACACAAAATCAGAACTATAGGTGACCTATTATCAGTGATAGCATCAAAGTGTTTTTAAAAATTACCATCTCTGAAACCAAGATGCAGCAACTGAACCTGCACTGCTATGCCTAATATGAACAGGGTGTGTGAAAAAGTATGTTTTTAAAGTACCTTTAAAACATCTATTTTATTATTGCCACCGCAATGGACTCAAAGCTTGTGCACTGCTATGTACGTTGGCTGAGAGGCAAAAAGGACAAATGTACTGCGAACAACCCTGTCTTGATAGTTGTGTGGGCACACCCTGTGTATTACTGACCTCTTGACTAAAACACTAAATCAAAATCCCTTGCTATTTCAAGTCATTACGATTTTTTATGTAGTACTTTATCTCCTCCCAGCAGGCAGGGACAGACAGACGAATTTTTCTATATGACTATGAGCAAAGAGAAAAATAAGTAAAAAACCCAATCCACCCACAAGCATTAGCATTTATATTTGATTGCAACTTGAAACTAGACTCCAAAAATTGCCAGCCATGAGGTATCTTTTCCTAAACGTACTCAACTCCCATATATGTGAAGCATGTTAACAGTCAGTCCTAGAAATTGTAAAATTGTCGTGAACGTTATCGCTTTTTTACTGTGATAATTTCAATGCTTCAAAATTATGGGATGTCTGTATTAATCATATATAATGATAATAAAAAACCCCAACAACTTCAGACATGATCATTGCTAGATGAAGACAGACTTGCAGTGCTTCTGAAGGAATCAACACAATAAATAGCACAGCATTTACCATCCCCCAAGGTCCACCTGATGTGAAACGTCAGGGGTAAGCATGTTGGTGGATCCTTGGAATAATCTTTTTGGATGATCTTCTATCTCTGTTACACCTTTGGTAAGAGATAAGGAGTGATAAAAATTAGTACTCATCTAAACTAAAATCTACTTTCTATGTACTTCTACAGAGCAAACAGAACAGAGGTTCAAACTTGTTACAATAGATCAAGTGTTATATGTAAAACACAGAAGTTCAATGCTGAAATTTTAAAGACTATTTCTTGGAAGCATTTTGGTCCAAACTTCAGGAAAGTTTAGTGGGTTATGAGCTGAGGTGTAGATATCGGATATTTATTTTTTAGTAGCAAAGAATAATCTTTTGGTTGTTTACTTGGCTATCAGTTCACTGACTAGCTCCACCAAAGTAGAGAAGCTGAGAGCAAGGAAAGCTTGTTCTCCTCTTGCAATCAATAAAAACAAGGTCCAGGATTATCACTAAACTTATATATTGACTTTGATTTCCAAATACAGTAGAAGAGAGGATAGATATATACTTAAATAGACTATGACAAAACTCAGATAAAGGCATTTTAAAAGCTGCCTCAGAGTCAGAAGCATTCTGTTACAAAGGTGAAGCATGAAGATATCAAAACAGATGCAATAAAATAACCAGGAGTTAAACTTGAAGAAAAATGTAGAAAGATAGAGAAACATTTCCCAGTAGAGCTGTAAGGTGTCTAACAGGTCTCTGCACCAGTTTTTGGTATTGAAGGGTGATTTTAAATCTACAGTACCTGTGCACTTCAGTTAGCCAGGACTTTCAAAATTCTCTATTTGTGAAATATACCAATAGCTGTATTTCTTATTTTGTTAAACAAGTTACTTTAGTTTCTTAATGGAGAACTATTAGAACAACTATTAGTTTTACGAAATAGTAAAAGCTAATTTATCTCTGTTTTATCCCTACAGTTTCATTTATTTGCTCATCTGTAATATTGTCTATTTCTAGTCACTCTTTGAGGTATCAGCCAACAGAACAGAATTATGAGGAAAGCTATGTGAATTATTGTAAAATCAACACATAAGCATATTAGCCAAAATCAAATACTGTACCTTTTCTTTTTATTGACCCAAGAACACTTGGCCGAATACAATTAATTGGACTCTGGCTTCTCCTGCTAAAAGAAGGCATATGCTATACTGATATTACCATTGATAAAAGAAGTCTAAAACCATGTTAAGTATCAAAAGATATTCAGATAAACTACTAGGTGCTAGAAAACACTAAGAAAACAGGTATTAAAACAGCTTATCTAAAGTTGTGGGGTTTTTTTTCTGAAGAAAAATCTTAACAGAAAAAGCTTAGTCACATTACTTCACAGCTGGGGCAGTCTAAAAGCTCACATGTGGGCACTGGCTAGATGACAGCTGACAGGCAGTACTTTGCTGAACTATTAGGGCCTAATAAAGTTTAACTGTATGCCCACATCACTCAAAACAACGTTCAATGAAACTAGAACCAGTAACAAACCCTAAACCTGTTTGTTTGGGGTTTCCTTCGCCCCTGAGAATCCAGTTCAGTTACTGAAGATGTGATTAAGAGCAATACAGACTACACAGGTGCACAATGCAGCCCACTCTCCCAGCGTTATGACATGAGTATTTTAAGAAATATTTTAGAGCATTGTTAAACCTGAAGTTTACATGAATATATAAAGTCATATTTTTGATCAGAAATCAATTTTGCATGTAACAAATTCTGGTATTTAAGCCTGCTGTGAACAAGCTATGCCAATTTTCTATTATTGATAAGATCTGGTAGTTACCTTGAAAATCGCCTCGTCGGACTTGGGCTAGGACTTGGAGGTAATCCACTGCTACTCACCAAACTTTGCAAAGATGGTGAGAAACATTGCTGAGAGTAAAACAGTTTGAGTTATTTCCATATAAACACTGTATCAGACCCATATGGCAACTACTGATCTTTATCCCAGGTAAATAAGCAACCCACTATCAATTTCAGCAACCAGTCAATATGGATGGGTGTACTGAGACACCACTTCTTGTTACTGAGGGGAAAAAATAAAAATTGGACAGATTACACTTTGGTGCAGAATACATGCAAGTTGACAAGGATTTATTTCACCATAGTCTGGTTAAATAGACTGTGGTTCATAAAATAAGAATGTATGCCCCTTCCTCTTATTTCAAGAGGAACGCAAATAAAGAATAAGGATTATTAACCACAGATTAACAGTTGAACACTCCACAGAAATGCACATTCACAAGATGTGCAACTGCTAGCTGGTATTTTCTGGTTGAAGGTTTTAGTTCTGTTGGTTTGTTGGTTTTTTTTCTTTCTTATTCTAGTTTCTTGTTTGCAGCCAAGGTAGAAAGGAGCAGGTGGCTTAATCTTTTGCTGCTGATTTGGTTGAATTTATTTAGCACTGCTCAAGTCAAAACCATTATTACCACACATTTTGCTCACCTTCCCTATTCCTCTAGTAGGTGAAGGAGCTGGAGAAACTGGGACAAAGTCTACTTGCTTTGGTGATGATGATTTTTCAAAATCATTGTCGCTCTGTAAATAGTACATACAATTAATCTTACGAGCAAATACCCTAACATGAAAAGGACTGATTGGTGTGGACTTGAGTAAGATTCCAAAGTTTCCTCCATCATATTAATAATTTTTAGGTAGCCATTTATGAGCTCACACTCAACAACAACAAAAGCCTTTAATATTACTTGGTGAGTATCAGAACATGAAAGAAAATCTGAACAGGCGGATAACCATGCAATTTTCTTTTGACATACCAGCCCAAAGAACCCACGTGTATCCTCGAACAACTGATAATTCTATGCTTTGTTAGTGTGAAAAATTGCTGATCAAAAGCAGTGATATACTAACACCTTAATTGTAGGTCAAACTATGAGAGAAAATGTTGACATGAAAGAGTCTCTAGTGTCCCGATACTGACAACAGAAACACAAATTAAAGCATGAATGCATTACCAGGCTCAAGCTCTCCTCCCATGAGTGGCTCATCTGCATTGCTACTTGCACTTCTCTATAAAGAAGAAAAGAAATGTATTGTCCCAGGCCTATAGAAGACTACATAAAGTATTCTAGTTTGCCTTAATGCTTACCTTTCACGTACTGTTTCTCTGTTCATCAGATTCATTCCTTCTTCCTAAAAGATTAGCAGATGAAAAAAAGAAAAAAAAAGCTTTGCTATAGCAAATCAGAAAAGCTCATTTAATTTCACTTCAGTATGCTGAAAATTTAATTCAACTCAGTTAAGCAACAAGAACCTTAAGCTCTCACTGCATGAAAATGAGTGAGGAGGAGAGGATGGGAAAGAAATGTAGCAAGACACCATCACAGAAGAAGTGCTTAGGGGAGTTTGGTTTTAATCAAGTAGCTTTATTTTCATTACTATGGAAGAGGTAATGATAATATGAAGCGAAAATTCTGTACATGCTAGAGTATGAGTCTCGCATAATAATATTTCACAAAGTGGAAACTAGTACAGATAATCCTTAAATGCATGGCTGGCTTCTCACCTTATTCTATGGATTAGTAACTAACTAGACACTTGTCAGCATTTCATTTGTAATACAGTGCACTATACACAATGAATTTAGGATTTGGTGGTTTTTTTTCTGAAAACAATCATAAAATATTACTAAAATGGATCAAAGGTGCAACATTAAACTAAATATTAACACCAAATTGAAGTACAAACTTGACTGAACCTCCTCATACGTAGACACTATTCCTTAAACCTAAGTGAATGCTATCCAGCCTGTTGAGTGAATGAATACATTCCCTAACTCAGTCCAGTTCAAGAATAAAAGTTCAACTAAATATCTTCACAATCTTCATCATACGTAGGGTCTTACTAGCATAGTTCAACTGTGTGATTATTTGCCAAGATTTGAAAGAGATCAGAAATAAATCACATGGGTTTCCATCTGTGCCATATAGGACGTGGAATTTCAACTTGTGAAGTTAATGATCAAATACAAATTATGAAATGTCATTGTTCTATATACTTATTGAAGTGAACAATTATGAATACAGAAGCACTTTTAAAAAAAATGAACTTTACTTCATGTAATATAGCAACAGAGCCATGGTAGTTCATCCTGTTACTCTCATCATTTACATTTTAATCCTAAACTTTTTTTACTGATAAAAACAGCTCTACAGCTGGCTTGAGTGCTTCAGAGTCTCTTTAAGCCAGTAATTTATTTACATAATGAAAGCAAGCAGTTGGATTTTTTCAGGATTAATGCACCTTAAATATCTGAGGTGGGAAGTAGAAGTACGTTCCATCAGACACCACACTCTGAAAATGCTGTGCAAAGCATTAAACTGTTTTCTTACTTTTCACCCTGTAAAAAACAAGCCTATTCATTAGAAACTAGCAAGCTAGAAAAATACTATATATAAAAAAAAAATAAATCAAGTATCTTGAAGGCAATTGTATAAACATTCTACTGTCAAAAAGTGGCCATCTAAAATGGAGGAGCCACAAAAGTTTGAGCTTGTTGATTTTAAAACTGGAGTCCTCAGACTGCGGTCTGCCGTCTGGTAGCAGTGCTATTTAAGCCTACTCAGATATTTGCCACACCCCCCTCGTTCCTAACTGTTTGCTCTGGTGCCCTTCCCCCTCTGCTCATGCTGTGACAGCACAAGTACAGTGATCTGGATAAGAAAATTATACAGATGAAAAATAGCCCAGCCAGAGGAGTCCAAGCTATTTTTTAGCCAGAGTTCTTCCTTATCCAGTTCCTTTTCTGGCTGCGCAGAAGTCCTATGCCAACACAAGTTAAGGAACGCTTTGTTATTGGCCCTGAATATTTATGCTTGCACTACTGCCAAAACTTGGTGGAACTTTACCCTAAGGGTTTATGTTCAAGGTTTCCTTTTTAAAACGTCCATCTTAAGATTTTTCTTCCTGCTCAAATCCTCTTCTCGCTATAAGATGCCTTCTACTTCATGAAATTTAGAACTCTGCAGACAAGATACAGCGTTTACTTTCAAAAATACTTTGAAGTGATAGAATTCAGCAGACTCTGTATACAAAGAAAAATCTATAGTTTTTTGAAGGACATCACACATTAACTGCAAAAACACCAATCACATAAAAAATCGAAAATGTCAAAAAAATTAGAATCTGTGCTTACCTGTTTGATTTGATGAAGACGGCTGCTAGGAACACGGATAGGAGATGATGGCACAAACTGCAAAACAAAGTCACATACAATTGAAACACACTTAGAAACTACAGGAAAAGGAAAGGTGCAGAAATGTTAGTAAATAATCTATAGTGCTATCCCAAACAAAACAGAAGTAATTACAAAAAAAGCCAAATCATTTATAACATTCTCTCTATATATATAAACTACATTAATTACTTACAAGAACATAATATATATTTCCGTATTATTCTGCTTTGTATGCTCACATATGATAACTGGTGTCAGCCTGGCTTTCACTTCATTTCCAGGCAACTAGAACTTAGAGCCTTCTCTACAGAATTAATCTGCTTTTAACTATCACACTGCCACCCTTGATTTATATGGTTGCACACTTTCATATAAATGATCCAGAATATTTTCATTAAATGATCCACAAGGCTCCCCAATAGAACCTTTAAAAATACAAAGGCAAAACAACCCACTGTGCAAAAAGGGTGCTGGATTGTTGTCTGCCTATAAACGAGTACTTTGACAGGTGAAAAAAAAAATCAGCTATTAGAAGGCTAACAAAGAGTTAAATACCTTCCTTATGGTTTAAGAGCTTCGTCAATTCAGGTGAAATCCAAGAGGATGTCACTAAAATTGATCTGTTACTTTTGTCAGTTTTGCATCAAGATGTCACTAGAATACTATGATATAAAACTGCATATTCAAAACCAAGTAATTAAAAGTGATTATTTTCTCAAAATATGATTTCCTTTCACGTATTTCCCATCCCTCAAATGTTTGAGCCTCAGTTGACTTTTGTCATAACATATTCAGGGATCAAAAACTAAAAGCTAAAGCTTTGAATAGAGGTTTAACTTCTCTGTAAGCTGACAACCCCTCCAAAAAACAAAGTGTCTTTTTAAAATAGATGTGTATTCAGCAAGTAAGTTTTGTATTATCACTGTTTATAGAGTTTATATACTTTATGAAGAACGAAGCTTCATCCCCTCTGCAAAACATTACTAGAGCTTTTCATTATGCTAAAGTTGGAGCACTAACAAAAATTCAGTTAGCCATTTACTGCACCATCTTCTAATCAGTGCTATGGAGAATACAAAGATTTTGCTGTCTTACACAAAAGGTTATAGTAAGCTATCAGACTATTCATGCTTCATACATCCAGAATCCTCCCTCTAAAAAAACAAACATCAAGACATCACGCCCTTCTTCTCACAAAAGATACTAGTCTATCAGACTCACACAGAGGATGTCTACTGTTTGTGCCAGAATTTAGCCATCATAATATATACTACTGAAATCTAATGGCTAGAATGTCTTGATTTGCTACTTCTTAAGTCCAGGTTAGGTCAGCTTTCTATTATACCAGGCTCCCAAAAATTCTGTGCACCTAATAAAAATTCCTCCAAGCTGTACCACCCAATGTGGACCTTGCGTTGACCTTGATTCGCACACACAGAAAAGGACTTGGACAATAGTACATTCCTGACTATTTACTCTGTCACTCCACAGTAGAAATGCATTTGTTCCGCTCATTATATTCTAATTTTATGACTGTGATCCACATGCTTTTAGGTTTGACATTAATAGAGTATATACGAAACCAGTGGCTCGCAGTATAAAATAAAAATGACAAAAAGTTAAGTGTTCCTCTGCAGGATCTAATGCACTAACTAAACCCACTAACTGGATCCTACATCTCTTCTCCAGCAAGTCATGATCCTTGCTTTGTCAATGCTCAAAACTCACTTCTTCCCCTTCATATTCCCTTAACTGTGAAAAGAAACATCATTCTTGTGAAAACAAAAGGGAAAAGTCGCTGTTAAAGGGATACTTGCTAAAGCAGCCTGAGCCCATTTATTAAAATTATGCTACGCAAACCCCTGATGTTTTAAAGAGAGCACAAAGCTTAATAAAACCCATTACAATCCATGGGACTATCACATGGAGGAGAAAGACCTTTCCCTTCCCCCCTTCTCCCATATGTTAGATAAGTCTTTTTCACTGAAAGTAAAGGTTCAGAAGTGCCAGTGTGGCAGGCAGCACTGCCAAAGCAGCCACCTGCCCCCGTGCCTCTGCCCTTCCATCACTGTCCCTGCAGTGCCCCCTGTCTTCTGCCAACACAGCCCTTGTGGGGCCACACGGTGAACCCTAACAGGGACCTTACCTACGTTAAAAAGAAAAATCAACTTTTGCTGAAATAGTACCAAAACATCTAACCACCGATTAAAATACTTTGCTTAAACAACAAAACAAAATGAAAACCCCAAGCACACAAACAAAACAAAACACACCAAAGCATTTACTCACTAGATGCTACTGATACCTTCTGGAAGGAAATAAACAGAAGATACTGAGTCTAGTTGACCCTTCCTTAGTAATTACATTCAGTGTCAGAAAACTGCAGATTAAGACCCAGCCAAAATGGCACAGGTGCCCCTGTAATCATTATAGAAGAGTTGGAGTCTGAGACTTAGAGAAGCTGCTCAAAAAAGCAAAGATTTTAGAATTCAGCTGAGCAACTGGGACAACCACAACAGCCCTGAAGATGGAGCTGGACAGAGTATGACCTTCAGTTATCTGAGCATTTTAGCAGCTCCCATTGTTCCCATGACAGTGAACACAACACAGACCAGACAAAGAATAATCAAATTTTTTTCCACAAAGTTCAACAAAACAAAATTTTAGCTGTACTTATAATACTAAATTAACAAATTTCAGTCACTGAGTCTTTTCACTCTATTACACTGCAATAAAACTTGGATTAGTTTTCCTAAATACAAAGTGATTTTTGAAGTACACTTTATCACCTACTTAATGTAAAATTTAATTACCAAAGTAGATGTCATCTACCTTTGAGAACACAGAAGGATTAGATAATCCCTAAACTCCTTTTCAATTCCATCATCCCTGTCATCTCCAACAGAACTACAAACCAGACCATAATTCTGGATGAAGCACCATGGGGTTAGATTAATATTTTAAAAATTCAAATTTGGAGCTGTAATAACAGAAGTCTGACAAAAGTTGAAATAATGTCTTTAAAAGATATGAAATAAATAATTTTGGAATTCTATCTTGTTATATCAGTTGTTGATTATAACAGTCCATTCTGTCATTACTACATCAAAGGCAATTTTAAGATCAGAGCATCACTGCCCTCCCTTTTTCTAAACATTAGAAATGATTAACACATTGATTACTGAACAACACATCTACATAATTATTCTTCTTTGTGAACTACCTTTCTTATGCTATCTTAGAACATCTGCTTGCATTTTATAAACAAAGTTATGATCACAATGAAATATAAGTACTCTCCAAGGCCAAATGGTCTATAAATAACATTTCACCATAGCTACAGCGTATTAATGTCACAGTCTAGAGCCTTGTTTCTGAAAATATGTCATATTAGTTTCACAGACTACAATCTCATTTTCTTGTTTTATCCTGTTTGCACACTTCTGCTTCAGACCTAATGCAGTTGGTCTAACAGTTTTCTTACCAGGCTATGACGATTCATAACTGTGGTACTGTTCCTGCGGGTTCGCAAAACGTTAGGCTGGAACACCTGTGAATTATCGCTGTGAAAAGAAACACTTGTCAAATGCAAAAGCCATTTCCTTCCTATCAAAAAGTACCTCTTGCTATAAGCTCAGTTGCAAATGCTATGACAGCTGTCATTTCAAGACAAAGCACTAGAGAGACAGGTATGTAAGAACTCTTTTAGCTTGTTGGCAGAAAGTGGAAACCAAATTCCCAGCCACTTCAATTAGTGATTTTAAATAATCATATTGAGTCTTTAAAAAATTGTTAAGACTGATCATTTCTGTGGGAATTTATGATGTTTGGAATGGCTGCAGCTTGCATATCGATTATCATTCAACAGAACAAATTTATAAGTGGCACATAACCAGCAACTGAAACCAGCTTCAGTGCGATAGATAAAACAGAATTAAAAAAAAACACCGTACCTTGATGAATCTTACCACTATGATCATTATTAAGTTCTGAACTATTTTCCAGGAGAAATTTAACTTAAATTAAATTAAATTTAAATTAAACATACAGTAAAACGAGCTTTTAAAGCCCAAAGACTTTTGAACAGTCATGCTTCTAACCAGGAAGCAGCTCATCCATTTAGATAACACAGGATTAATTATTTGATATAAAATGAGCTCATTTCTCAAGGCAGCTTTCGTTTTATTGATTCCTAAAGCACGCTCACTGGTCATCACTAGTGTTATCAACAGCCATTAATCAGCACGATGAATGCGACTGCAAAAATTACATAAATCATGTAGAATAAAAATTTTGAGCCAAAATCCTACAATCCCCATGCCTAAAAATCACCAAGAAACTGCATGGGCAAACAGATCCAAATGTAAGACTGTAATTAGAGCCAAACTACAAGATTTCACTGGGTTGTATCTTTTTGTTTCAGCTGCTAATTTGGGATGAACAAAAGCACTACACAAATACAGTTTCTTAAAACTAATCTGACCAATAGTATTATGTTGTCCTGAAGGCTGATAATGATAAGGCACTTTCAAGACACATCACTACCAGAATCCTCCAGTTTAAAATGCACGTTAGACACATAAGTTTTGGATAGCTTTTATCTAGCCGTAAATAAAAAATTTAAAAAGCTCATACTGTGAAATAAAAGCCAACAGCAGTTGGCATAAGCACTGTGCTTTTTGCTAGAAAGAATGCATCGACTCTCTTTCTCTAAAACGTCAAATACAAATGACCAGACATCATTTACCATTTTCAAAGAAGTTTCACTCAGTTTACACCCGCAAGAGATCAAACAGCTGCTATTTGATAGGAGGTGGAGCAGGAGAAATTTAAGAGATCCATGACCTGATGTTTAGACATGAGATTTACTGGCTGAGGCCAACAGCTACAACTTCTTTTTAGTGTGTGCTGGCTGGTATGCAAACACAACACAAACAATACATCCTGAAATCCAGGGTCTGAATGGAGAAAACTGGTGGGAATTATTCTGTAACACACTACTATAGGCAGAGTCAAATATTTTGTGCTAACTAGAAGAGAAGAAGGAGAGAAAAACACCCCTACAGTATCCTTACCTTCAATCTCCTTTGCAAAAACACCCGAGAGTTGGTCAGATCTCAGACTTAACTTTGACAGAAAATTCTTACAGTTTCCATTAAAAATCAATTTTACTTGACACAAAAACAAGAATAAAAATTTCTGTGAAAGGTAACTTCAATGATCTAAAATATTCCACTTAAAAACGTCCTCTGGCTCTACAGTAACTCATTCTCCAGGCTCCTTACTGAAACTGCTAATGAAAAAGTCAAAACAGGAGGCAGACTAGAAAAAGCAAGCTGTTCAAGAGCAAGAGCTTTTGTTTCAGTTTACCCAACAAAGCCATTCTGGGAAAAAAAATGAAGTTTCTTGCCAAGAATGGCAATCTTGCAAAAACAGTATTCTGCTGGAAAATTCCTAACTAACAGGCAAACCACTGCAACTACCTCAAATTAGTTCAATGGGATTTCAGTTTAATTTGTATAAATGCCTGATGTATAGTGTATACACATTTCCAAGGCAAGAGCTCAGGCTTACCCTTCTACCTGACCAAACCCTGAATGAAATAAATTGTTTATAGCATGGTTATGGGATGCCTTTTTTTCTTCTTCTTTTTTTTTTTTTTTAATGAGTAAAAGGTCTCACAGTTTATAAGAAACAACTTATAAAAGGGTGAAATTATAAAAACATCTTGTCTCAGTTACATAATTAGTTTACCTGCTGAGAAATCTCCCTGAGGAACCACTGCCATTCAAAGTACTTGTGCACTGCATGGAAATGTAAACTGATAGTTGTTTCATTATGATTATGTAAAAGAATCACCATTATGTTTACTTGACATTAAATCCTAACTGAATAGGCAAGGATTAGTATTTCCCTTAAACTGTAATGTGCTGTCAAGCATTTTGGTAGGAAAGATGAGATTTGTTCATCCCTTGATATCTAGCTCTTTTCAGAAACATGAAGTTTAAGGGGAAAAAAACCCACAGAAAGTACTTACGTATTATACTATGGTTTAAAAAGTTTATTGTCAATATGCTCTCCCAAATTGTAGACATATTACTAGTCACATCACATGGACCACCCTGAATTTAGATGGTAGCCACACCACACAGCAGATGGGGGTATCTCCCAAATTCACAACAGCCCAGAGGAAGCAAGAAGCAGCATTTGGAGTTACAAACCTACCCAAACACAAAACTATACAAGTGACCATGCATATCTGAGAGCTTTCCCCCTAGCCCTTGACTAGGATTGCTGCTCTCTGCCCTGTCAGCTGATGAGAGCTAGACCTGGAACACATGGCAAACATCCAACCCCCGTGCAAATACCACCCGCCACATGCCGAGGGCAACATCCAAGAGAAATTATCTGCACAACTCCTTGTGTTTCTCCCAGTATTACATACTAACAAACTTAGTATCATCCAGAAAAACATCAGAACTGATATATTCTTTTACATAAAATGTAAAACTTAATATCTTTCAAGGTCCCATGATAGGATCTTCTTCAAGGAATTCGCTTGACTGTTCTGAAATCATTTACTGTTGTAATCGTATACAGTGCGGTGATTTATTTTTTTTTTTTTACAAACTTGAAACGTTTTAAAATGACACAGATCGCTACTTTAACTGTATTAACGGTCACAACCTTGATGCTGCGTACTGATGTTCCTCAGCTACTCAACACACAGCAGACCCAGATGAAAACAAACTACGCGTTTTAATAAAGCTACAGCACGTCTACCGAGGCCTTCCTGCAGCCCCCGGCACTCGGAGGGGACCCTTACCTAAACTAACCCTCTCCCCGCCTGGGACAGCGGTCAGGAGCCCGCCCTTCCCCACACGCCCAAGGCATCGCCATGGCTCCGCGCGGCGGGACGGGACGGGCGGAGAACGGCAACCCCCGGGGCTGCGCAGCACCAACACACCGCCCAGGCCGGCCCGGAGAAACACGGAGCAACCGCCGGGGCTGCAACAGGAGCCGCCAACCCCCCCCCACCTTGTCCCCG